CTCGGGAGCCAGGTATGAAGCCACAACATAATTTTCTATGACAATCAGTCAGTCCTACTCGGACTTCTGCTTTATGCTTTTTGAGTTATTATTTTTTATTATTAAAAAAATAACTCCGTGTTAGCGTGTAGAGTTGTATGTTGCTCGCATCAATCAGATTGCCGCATTTGGGTATTATCTCGCACCAATCAGATCGCACCAATCATATCACAGCATTTGGATATCTTGCACCCATCAAAGCGTTTAGGGTATGTATCTCGCACCAATCATATCACAGCTTTCTTGCAAATGATGTCATGGAATCAGTGGGCTGTGCACCAAGAATGACAAACCATTAATTGGGCTAATTTAGATGAGTGTAATGGTTTGTGACCTTCGCGAGAGTCTCGTTGATTAAAGTCGAGATTTATCGGGATATGAAAGGTTCGCATTTAACCTTTTTGTATCATTTTTAAGTTAAAACGTTTTCTTTTTCGCTCCTTTACTCACAATTCACACGCCAAACAACTTACATTCCATCATGTACCATGAAAACAACGTCCAAAGTCCAATAAGAACATACGAAATCATTTAACTTCATGAACATTAGGCTTTTTTTTTACGTGCCTGAATTGTATTCCACCAATCAAATTCCATTTCGCCAAATTAAACTTCGCTCCATCACGTGTCGTTTCCTTGTAAATGCCACTGACACTAAATTTTCCACGCAATTCTCCCGCGTTTTTCTTTGAATAGCTTTAGCTTTCAGCTACTTTGGACAATCCAATCGGGTGTTAATTCCTTGTAAATAACATGCATTTTATCACGTATTTCACACACAGAGGGAAAATCCAGATAGGTGACAACCAATCAAGGAGCCCTCTTTGAAATGTTATCCTTTTGTCTTGTTCAATGTATCTTCACTTATTCGAGATCGCAATATATCTTTGGTTAGGGTCAATTGGAGATATAACAGGGTTTCAGTTTGCTTTCCGTTGTAAAATTAGGTGGATTATTTTCTCAGGCAACTAACTGTAGACGAATAACTTTGATTTTCTCTCTATTGGAGGAACGGTAGTAAGCGTAGTCTCTTTCGCAACCGTCATTTGGTCTAATCACGCAACGCGCTCTTTCTCAAACGGGGAATATATGGCGTTGTGTGACGAGACCAAACAACAGCTGCGAGGGAGACAACAGTAAGTGTGGCACCGATGCATTTTATTTTTGCTCAGAAGTTTTTAGACAGTAGACCTGTGTGAGCTCAGATAAATTAGTTTTTATTTCTCTTAAGGTGAAGTAATGCGATATTTTTGTCCGTTTGAAAGTTATGCTCTTTTTCTGTTATAAAAACATTTGGTACACAGAGTGTCCCATTTCAACCCGCCCGGCCAAAAAAATAACCCCTGCATGCTACGTATGCCTATGTTTTCATAAGACAATCCTGTACACGATACACACTTAAGCCTGTCACTCCTCAGATCTCGATATTAATTTTCCACTCTATCTTTGTTACAATTCCTATTAAATTAACTTCCACATCCAGGTAACCGCTGATATTTAAACACATCTAGTAATTTTGCGTGGCAATACACTGTTACCCACCTGTGGAAATGAACATAACAGGAACAATCTGCCCATTGTCACCGTAAGCTTTGTCCACAACAAGCTGAGTAAACCTGCAACAAATTACAACTACATTAATTTTCAAACTTCTGTAGACTTATCACCTTATTACACTCAAGGCAAAATAATTGACTGCTGATTGACTGAGGCAGAGGGCATTTTTCTCAAACATGAGGGCACTTTGGGCATTGAAGTGAGCATGATTACTTGATCCTGATTGGCCTCTTATCTGCAATAAACTGGTTTCACCAAAGTGAATGGTGCTTTAGTAAAATGGAATAACAAATATAAGATCTAGTTCAAAAGTGTCCGTGAGAGTAAGAAAACATGGAGTCAGGATGGCTGGTGTTGCACAAAGTAGTGGTACTTGCTTTGATCGGTTCCATGAAACAAAACATTGGAACATACTACTTCGTTAAGCGATGCACATGTTATGTGATTCAAGTCTTACTGTTTTGGAAGTTGGAAGTAACTTTGTCCTGTAGAAACTATAAATCATATAATTATGACGTCAAAATGTGGTAAAAACAAAATGTGAGGCACCCGAGGCACAGCCAAGAGTGTAATCCGTACGTTACCCACAGCAAAATATAATCTATTTTCTTCTCTCACCCTAGAGCATATGTTCTCAAAGGTGTATCAAAGAAAATAGAAAAAAATTAAAAAAAAGATAGAGTGCATTTATAAGTATTGGAAGAGAAACCAAAAAAATTAAATAAATAAATAGGATTCAAAAGTGAGAAAAACCGTTATATAAGACATGCATTCCATTCTGCAGTAAATGAAAAGGTAAGCACAGACACTATACGGTGTACATGTAAAGTACTTGCTTAGTACCACAAGAAACTTTCCATTATGAGGTTTTTCTTTAGCCAAAACGTAAACATCCCTTTGACAATTTCATAGTTTAAAGAAAATCTCAGACCTTGCCTTAATTGTATCGAACTCACTGTATTCCTCGGTCAACATGGCAAAGACATGGTTTGAAATCCTCCCATAACAACCTCATTCTTGGTTGACATGCAGTAAACAATACAAAGCATACAACATGTACAAAAAGAAAAAAAAACACAGCTGGATAATTAAAACTACAAGGAATGGCTACTTTAAAAAAATTTAAACAAATACCTCCAGGTATTACAACACTTTGAATATCAATTAATAGGAGTCTCAGGCTAAATGGATATTTTAATAAAACATGCAAAATGAAAAAAAAATTTTAGCTTCTCTTTCAATACTCAAGACTAAAAACAACATGTATTACCTTATGCCTGCTGTGGTAAACAGGGGTCTCGTGGCCTTAAATAATGGCCTTGGCATAAGTGGAACAGCCAAGAGAGGATGGTCAGAAGCAAACTTGGTGATTCCCCAGGAATACCTCTTGGTATCCAGCTGTGCATCGCACTAAAAGAAATGATCAATTGTTAAAATAAGTTAAGTGTAAAATTCTGCAAACAATTTTAATAAAATAAATCGTGAATTGAGCTGCGGACTTGAAACTTGAAAGGGAACTGCAATCTAAGCAATTGCAGAAAAGAGGCCTGAAAATATTCTGGCTTCAAGGGTTTTCAAAACTTTTGCCTCCAAGATACCAATTAGGCACTACTAACAATTAAGCTACAAAACTGGGTGGTTTTCTTGTGGAGAACATGTCATGTCAATGATGAACAAAAACATTCAGGGATGCTAAATTTTCCCCTTTCTGACCACATTCAGAGTTGCTACATGTATCTTTCTAAATTAACATGAACCTATAATAGAAGTGCAACAATCTACAACAAAAGTCACAAAAATATTGAATAATCCAGAAGGTGGCATCTAATAGAATTATTTTTAGTTCTAGGAAACTAAGTCTTCCCTAATCAGATAATTTTACACACCTTTGGTCTGCCAGGAACCACTGACAAATTTACAGGAACCTCTTCAACCCACAAGGAAGTTCCATCAAAACCTTTAGTGCCAGTTTCCTTTAAGTAAGGACTGTTATCAAATAATTCTTGAAGAGACTTCACACTGTAAGAACAAACTGCTGAGCCCAGGACACCTAGCCTACAACAAAAGTGTGACTGGTTGTGAGGCTTTTCCCACTGAACAAACAAAACTACAAGTTCTTCACACTGTGCACGGTAACCCTTCTGAAAGTGTATTGATCACTGAAATCCTACGAAATTTCAACTCCCTGTGGTAACTTAACCCAAAGCAAAGTTGAACAATACCAGAGTAAAATCAACCATGTATGATGTTGTCATCACTACCCTAAGTGGTGAATACATAAAGAACAACAAAATGGCTCTCAGCAGCCAGTTGTAAGTGTTTCCAAGATGAAATTATGGAAACTTAAATAAGTGCAGTCCCCATGTCAAGTCAAGCTGCAATAAAATAAAAACTAAAAAATAATCAGCAATAGTAAACTCTAAAATGCCTAGTTAGATATTATGTAGTAGCTGCCACAATTTCCCATCCTCCACTATCTTTTCATGTGTAGATAAGGCTATTCTCAGTTCAGACTTCCAAAATGCTCCCAGTCACAGGTGGGTCAAGGCTTGGGGTGAGTTGATACAGATTGAAATATGACCATGGTTGTGACTATAACTGAGGTGCATTTTTTTTTATTTAAATTAAAATATGACTATTGGTATAAAAGTGAGAAAGGAAGCATTTTTGTTTGATTTACATGCAGAATCAATTGAAAGTAAATCATCTAAAATGGCTTTGAAGACAGGCAGAGAAACCAAGTTTTGATAAGAAGTTAATACTGTAACAAAAAACATGACCAAAGCTTCCAGACATACTGTATATATAACTTGTTTCAGTGAATAATTTTGCATTTCTCCAAACCAAACACCCCTAATTGTTTTTGCAGTTTCTGACTTGAAAAATGGTGTGGCCTGATTCTTAACACAGTGCTTTCAATAAGATTTTAAGAAGGTGGCTACCTCAGTAAAGTGCCACCTGGAATGAAAAACAATTTCACTCCATAGCCCATTGGTTCCATTCAGAATAAACTGGCTTCAAATGGAGTTTTTGGCATTAAAATTTGGTAAATGATCATTAAATATCAGTCTCCTTTATAACAATTGTTTAACTGATTGTTTTATTCCTATTCAAAATCTTCCATTTGCTGACATGCAAAGCTGCTCCCTAAGTTTTGGAAAAAAGTCCTCTGAAAGCAAATATGGTTACTGCTTACTGAAATTTGACCAATTATATTCTTGGAAATTCAAAGTCTTTTCTGGGGGGCTGGAAAAGTGGTTTATGATAAAACAATATCAATCATTTCATTAAAACTTGTTTATGAAGGTATTAAAAGTAGACTGAAGACTCTAAATGATCTTGCAGTTATTTTGGTCTCACTTTGTGAGTTTGCTTTAAAGCTTCCAAAAATTCACAGCTGGAAGGATCCAAAATGATGGTAACTATCCACCATCACATAAGACTTAACACTTTCAACATGCAGTCTACAATAGCATTACAGGATAATATATTGTGTGTAACACATTTCTGTATGCACACACGGTTTAATTTTGATGCTACAATCCAAACCTTCCTTTGCCTGGCCCAGCAAAATTGATCTATTGTTTTTCATTCATAAATCACTGTTTGACTCACAGGTGCTTGAAGTGTTTGCACTGTAATGACATGATCTTTGTTTACAGAGTTTTTTTCTACCTGCAGTTGGAAACAAACCTCTGAATCTCCTGCCCCAAAATGCAGAATGCATTTGTTTTTTCTAGTTATGAAATGAAAAATGTGACAGCAAATTCCTCGGGTTTTATTTACAAAAAAAAAACAGGAAAATTTGTGTAATTATTGATGCATCCAGCTGCTATGTTTATGTAAGGTAAATTAATTGAATCAATCAGCCAATATATTTTAACTATTCTCATAGCTCATATTTCACAATATATCATACACAATTGTTGTTACATGAAATATCACACAAAGTCACTAACATAATTAAGTTCTGGCAGTAACCATAAGAACATGGTCTTTTTCGCTTTTCACCACAAATCTACCTTCCTTCAAATAAAAGGTTATCAATTAATTCTTGTTTCTCTCTCAGTAGTTAAGCCTTGGTGAAGCATTTGCATGTGAACTTAAAATCTTTTCAAAAAAGGTTTGAATTTGATTTACATGTGTTACTTGCTGTTTAAACAGTTTTGATTTTCAAGTTTATTTTCTAACAAGCGGTTGAAAAGAACTACTGTTGTTTTATTTGTCCAAAATTAATTGATGATTTTAGTTCAGTACCAAGTTATGTGAAAATTATTTGAAGTAACTGACAATGTGTACTTATACTTCATGCATGATGAATTTATAAACAGCACATGAAACAAGCAGAAAAAAAAAACTGCTGGTTAGAGGATGAATCTAATTAACAAAGACCACTGAAATTGAAAACTAAATATAAATATTTCCTTAATTGTTAATGTTATTTAACTATTTTTGGTCTGCAAATTAGATGTGGAGGTGGCAAAGTAAACCCATCAATTCACAACAGAATATGGGAGAGTACAACAAGATAATTTGGTATTATCACCTGAGTTGATAACATAAATTGGCCATTGTTAAGAGTTTCAAAGCCGACATTTCAAGCATTAGCCCTACGTCAGAGTGAATGGAGAAATTGTGGGTTGTGCATGTGTTTATATGCGAAAAAGGGAGCTATGCTATTGGTGGAAAATGGTAACGAGAAAAACAGAAAAAATAGTTGAATGAAAAGCATTCCTTGATACCCTGGGGATTAAGAGTGGTGATTTTAATAATGAATTTTTGTTCTAGAGTTTTGTGGCTTTCCAACTGCCTAGATGTAGAGAAAGGCTGCAGACAACCATATGCTGCTTAGAATGAATAGAGAGATTAAGGTGTCTAGCAAGTGGTTTGGATGTGTCCTTGTCGTCTTCCTGTTTCACCAATGTATGACTTTTTGCGCATGGTATAACTTTTTGCAATAAGTGTAAATTATGTAATAGATAAACACTGTTAGTACTATATATGTACATGATGCTCTAATGGTGGTGATGGTGAGATGTTGTCACAGTGGCCGGCAATTCTTGTTCAGCGATAAGATCATTAATCCTGTTTTTAACAATGTTTTGGTTGATGGAAGTGAGATTTTTGTCAATTTTTCATTCAGAGAGGTGTTAGAAAGTTGCTGCAAGCTTCCAAAACAACAATTTACGTTATCAACTCAGTTGATGATACCAACAAGGTAAATATGCAGTGTTACTTACTGTGGAGTGGTAAAAATTCCATAAAAATAGTCCTCTTTTGTCACAGGGTTAGTGTAGGTGGCAGCTGCTTCTAATAGAAGAGATCATAGTATCACATTGTCAAATTTGTAAAAAAGTAAAGCTGAAAAGAGTTGTTGTGAGCAATATATGTTTAATTAATCCTGAATCATAGTGTTTCTATTATCACCAAATCAATCATACAAACTGGTGTACTAAACAAAGGAACAATAGAAAGGGAAAATATAACAAACAATGAAATGCTCACAGTAAAAGCAACTGCTAACAGTTTGGCTGAATAGTATCTCAGAAATAAAATACAAAAACATAGAAGAAACTGCATTTGAACAAAGGAAAAACAGGAAAAAACACTCCTGTTCAGACTTACGGATTTCATTGTAATCAAATGGAATGTTTCCAGGGACTGAGCACATTATTCTGGTTTTCACAAATGAAGTGAATTTATTTTTCAATCGTCCATCACCTCCCTTATCATACTAAAAAAAACAACAACAGTGCCTAAATGATATAATCATAGTGTAGCATTTTCTTTGAATTGTCTTACTGTTCATGACTTGCATGCCTTTCTACAGTCAGTGTATGTACTTGTGGTGTTTTTCAACCTACCCTATTATTAGCACAGCCATTTTAATTCCTACCACAATGCCAAACTGTTGATTTTAAGTTGCCCCTTAGCCTAGCATTAGAGTTTGAATAAGGGTAAGAGACAGGCTGGTCAAATGAGAAAGAAAATGACCACAACCCAGAACTGGCTGGCCACACATGTGTGAGTTCACAGACTTCCAAAAACTAGTGGGAGTCAAAAGATGCCCTTCAAAAACAGAAAGTAGTGTGAATATCACACTAGCTACTAAGGTTGACAGTAAATGTTTTTCAACTGGATCACCAATGTAAAGGGTGGAGAAAAGGAGTGAGACTTTGTTAGGTGCGTGGTTGAAAGCAAAATCCAGACTAGCAGCATATGGAGCATAATTTTGCTTCTTTCAAGGGCAAATTTCATTTGGTTAGGAGTAGCTTTCATGATAAAAAAAAAAATTTAGTGTTTAATTTACTTTTTCATGTTCATTTCTAACAGGTAATAAAATATCTTGTATTAATCCCCTATAAAAAACCTATTAAATGTCAATATCAACCCCAAAAGTCTTTGACAATGCATATTTCAATGACAGTGATAGGGACTCTGAAGAAAGTAAGCAATGATTGATTTTAAACTAAGTAATGAATAAAGCATTTTCTTTGATGAAAAAATGTCCTCTTTCTTCTTGGTCAGTTGAGTATTCAACCTTGAGATGTTGTATGAGCCTCCATACAAATGTGAACTATATTGCATATTTCAACACAGGCCAAGTGATTGACAGCAAAGTGCATTATGTTAACTACACAAGGTGTCCTCTTTCTGGTCATTAACTTACTGTTTATTTACATTGCCAAATGGCACCTTTAAAAAATTTTCCTCTGAAAGGAAATGTGTGTGTTTTTTACAAACATATGTATCATGATAAAATATCTTGTCCTTGAAATGTGCTATTTGGTGGAACAGTATCAATTGTTGTTATCGAAAGGCAAAAGAGAGAGAGAACTCTAGAGATGCTCTAGATAATTTTGATGTCACCTCTTTCAGATAAAAGCTTCTAAAAAACTCACAAGGAGATCCAGAATAACCGTTTACATCCAACTTTACACATATACTGTATATTACTAAACCCTTAAATCCACATTCAGTATACATGAACAGTGCAAAAGAATATCCTGCAAATCTGTGAAATGTGTTTATGCTGAAATCCAAATATCTCTTTACCTACACAAGCCATTGATATTTGCACTGTGTTACCATAATCTTTGTTTTCAAGGCTTTCTCCAGTTTGCATCTGTTAACAGACCACTGCCATGCGTGTTTAGAATGATTAATATTCATCATGACTTTAAAACTTTATTAAAAGAATTATTTTGGAGTGTGTGAAACAGCCTCTTTTTTCCCCCCTGAGGTAACCCACAGGCATTTGATTGTCAAGTCTTCGGACAGGAATAAATATGACTTATATTTTAATATGAAGGTGCATGCATTTAAAGATAAAAATGTCACTTTTGTAAGCAGATGACTTAAAAGAAAAGGTCTACAAGAGAGTCGTGGTCGCTTATTTTGCCATTTACAAAAAAAGATTCATCATCTGCAAGAACATCTTGAAATCCTGCCACAAATTTCATGTAAAACTTTATTAAAAATCCAACAGGAATTAAAAAAGTGCTTGCTGAACAATACCAAAGTAAGATCAAACAAAGTCTTAAATGAAAGATGAAATGACCATATATATTACAGCAAACATTACAGGTAATGATTCAAAATATTCAGTCTTTTTAAGGTTAGTAAATCCACCAGTTTTATTATGTTAAAAAGGTACAAGATAACATGTAACAGTGTTTGACGTTCTTTTAGATTGAATTACTAATGTTTACATGAGATACTTAAATTTAATCAATCTGCCAATGAGGTTAACCGTTCCTATGACTTACATTTCAAATCAGATGTACAATGTAGACAATCTTTATATGGTGTCAGTTCCTCTTTTAAGCTCAAATGCAATAATGTCAGATATAAACCAAACAGAGCAGTATCCATGTACATGCATAAAAGGTGAAAATTGATTGAAAGAATGCAAATATATCTTGGGGTGTCTCCCATCTAACTTCATGAGGTTGCTCCAAAAACTTCCCCAGTCACAGACTTACTTTCTTACTAACAGTGATGACAGAAAAGTGAGCTTGAAGCCCTAATATCATAATGAAGAAATGGATGTTAAATTTCAAGGAAACAAAAAAGAAGCAAAACATTCCTTTGTGCAACTCACTCTAATTTTTCCTTTTGGTAAAAGGAAAAAAAATAACCTTTAAAAATTTAAATGACAAAAAAAAATTCACTTTCTGTTGAAGAGCAGAACAAATCACCAATTTATTTAAAATGACAAAGACAAAATGCATCTAGTGATCTTTAGTTTCTGTTCACTGAGGACTACAATCAGGAATTAACTTCATTTGTGCTATGCCTACCACAATTCCCTTGTCAGTGGAAAAACAAAATAATTCCCTTTCAGTTCTTGCCCCAATAATATCATGTTACATAATTTTACAACAGAAATAGAAACCTAAGCCCCTTCATTTCCAAATAAACCTATAATGATTGATATTTTACGCACCCTTTTTTCTGAAAACGTGCTTAGTTGTTCACACCAATCGCAAACTGATTAATGCCAGCAAAAAACCCAAATGCTTCATGCTGAAAAATGGCAGTTGTGAGCAGGAAACCGTTTTTTGACAGGATGCTTTTTGAAAAGTTAGTAAAGAGGCAATAATACATAATGAATCAAGAGAGACCACTGTATAGCAAAACATGACACACGTACCTGACAAATCCTTGCCACCCTTGAGTAAACGACCTGGAGGAGAAAGCATGCAGATAGCTTTCAGTGGTGTTTCACTTTTCAATTAAGTTAACTGGATCTTTTTAAACAAATGAATGTTCACCTAATTGCAATTGATGCCATTTTACAATATAAATAAACTACAAAAGAAATGGCAACTTTGAGATTTTTATTTTATAAAATAGCACTACCATAATTATATTCCATCTAAACAACCACTTAAAAACAATCACATAGTTACCAGAGAGTTAAGTTTATCAAACCCAACCCTGAGAAAGCTGAGAAGTGGTCATTAACATGGTCAAGATGCAGTAGATTTATGACAAACTCACTTTTGTGTTGTGGGGGTGGTTCCTTGGAACTTAGTTAATCATAACCTTTCTATTAATTAATTATCATTTTTATTTTATTTTCAGAAAATAGTAATAAAATAAAAACAAAACAAAACAAAACAAAAACAAAAACAAAAACACAAGACCAACAATGGGAAGATGTGATGGCCTAGTGGTCAGTAAGCCAAATGCCCTTCAGATCCAAAGGAAAATGTTTGAGTCTTTCTCCACCCAGGAGTATAAATACTTTCCAAAAAAACTGTCAGGAATACTTAAAGAGTTGGTGGGGTCACCTGTGTTGATTTCATGTGAAATAGTGATCTGATGTAGATCTGTGAAATATGCACTCTAAAAACACTAAAAATGAGCCTGTTTAAGATTTACTTCACCTACTGAGCCATTGTTCAAATACTTGGTTATTTTCATTTACTAAAGTAATGATATACTTGGATTCACCTTTCTTGTTTCTACTGCAGTTTCTCTAAAAAAGAAGTAAATGAAGTTGTCTATATGATGTAAAGAAGTTACAAAGTCAGCATCTAAAAAAGATATAAAAAACAAGTTTCAAAAAGGTGGTCAAATTAAATTCCACTGCCATTTGATACAAAAATTTGCCACCAATGTGAGACACCATTTGCACTTGGCTCCCCCCCCCCCTTTACAGAAGACTTATGATATATAACATACACAAGAACACTGTCATTAGCATTAGTATTAGTTTTAGTTGCCTTGCAAGGTTGTTTTAATTCTTATTACTGTATCCTATGGTTTTGAAGTCAGCTATAATTTCATCTACCCAGGGTTCCTAGAAATTGTTACTAACACTACACCTGCAATAAAAATTTGATTTGTTCTACTAGCATACTCATTGCCTACATGTACAGGCTGTTTCAGAAGAACTTGCCACTATGACCTGAGATCAAGAAAAGGCTACAAAGGCTACACAAGTATTATGACAAGGCCCTTTTTTGTCTATAAAAGGTCTGTACATTTATTGCTGAGAACTTGCTATCCTTGTGTCTTCTTTTCTTTGATTTGTGATAAATGCAGGCATTATAGCCAGCCATCTTCCATAATAGTTCCGTCAATTTTGTTACATTACAACATTATCACAATTAAGTGAGCTCCTTTATTCACATAACTTAAATTCAGTGTAGTAGTAACACGAAAATTTCCAAAAATTATAAGATTTCAAAATGTGGGATAGGTGAAGAAGGAAGCTACAGAATGCTTCTTACTGAAAACTGTACTGTAGGGTTCATCTTCACTCAAGTATTTCGATAATAGGTATATGGAGTTCATCAAAATAAAATAACTTATAACTATCAACCTTGCAAAACTTTAAGAGATGAATCAGATGTCAAAAGTATGCTCCTGCTCAAATCTGCTTCAGTCTTGTAAATGAGTGATCTCCTACTGCTAATCCCAGCAAACAGGTAACTACCTACAACAAAGTGTTTTATTATTAGCAGCAGCACCAAAACATAATTTTCAATCTAGCAGACAAGAAAGCATGCATGTGACACAGTGTGACAGTGTTTTATCTGTGTTCTTTATTTTTTAACTTTTTTTTTTTTTTGGCATCTGAGTAGGATCTTTCATTTACATAATTTTGATTAGTATGCAGCATTTAATCACATTACCATGATTCACTTTCCTACCAATTTCAAAAAATAAAATGAATGGCCAATGAAAGTTTAAGAGACAGCAATGAAATTGGCCTTTACAATGTCTTAGAGTCCCTTTGCTCCCCCTTTTAATTATTATTTAATTATTATTCAGAATATATATGAACCCACAAGATCTGTCCATTAATTACTTTGAAGAAACTACATGTAAATTGTACCTGGAAAATGCAATTTTAACTTAACAGTTGCTACTACATAGTGTGTGGCAAACTGATAACTCCCTCCTTCAAGGCTTCAACACAGTTATAGACTGAGGCTGTTTTGACAAAAGTACACTTTGCTTTTTGTGCAATGACAAGTTATAAGCAGAGAGCTTGAGGTTCTGATGAAGGAAGGTTTGAAGGGATTCTACAAGTTGTAAAGGCCTATTTCATTGCTATCTCTTAAAGTTTCATCAGCCTTAAAAAATATAGAAGCTAAACAGAAAATATGTACAGAAAGGAAATAAAAGGAAAAGTTTGAAATTCAGTAAGGATGGATGCTATCATTTTTGGTAATGATTCAAAATTCAATCTTTCATCCATCAAGGAATCACTCCACCTTGCTTTTGGCAGGCTAGTAATGACTTGTAGAACTTTTCTGTTCTGCCAACCTGGCTACCACACCACCATCTTAAAGGCATCCCCGTATCAATTGCAGTTGTTTGTTTAGTATAAATAGGATATGTCATCGAGAGTAGAGCAAAAAAGGCAGTTGGACTTCACTAAGCCATTATTTCATCAGATAACAAGCAAGACTGTTCCACAGCATGTGAAAACCTTGTAGCAAATTCTGAACACAGGATCAAATACCAGCCTCAACAAAATCTGGATCAGACTGGACCAGATCACAGACTGCATCACCATAGATCACAAAAAGAAAAGTTTTGGAAAAATTAAAAAATCAAATTGTTTATAAAATAGCAATAAAAACAAAATAAAAGTGAAAAACTAAAAAATGTAAAATGAAAATTAGAAATGTTGCGTGGTAAGCCAAAATAAAGTCTGCATAACTTAAAGAGGTATGTATCATTTAATCAGTCGGGTATTTATTTGTTCTTTAATATCATCTCACCTACTACTTTTCCTTCATTCAATATCATTTAGCACATGAAAATGAAGAGGCAAAGAATAAGGTGAGGAGCAAGATTGTTTTAGATAGGACTACTGAGGTGCATGTGGGCAATTTATGCTGTCCATGTCATGTCGTACACATTAATAATTTCAGTTTCTTCTATGAACTAATGTTTTAACATTTCTTCTTCGCCTGAATTGCATTTCTCCCTGAAGTAGGTGTCAATAAACCTCACACCTGAAAAAAACTCAAACCCTTCATTCCATCTTAGTGCAAATTCAAATTTAGTGTGCTCAACAATTTAAATCATAACACTTGTAAAGCTATAGTAATTTCTATGAGAGTTACCTTTGGTCTTTTGTAGTGGAAAGAAATGAGGAAATTGCTAAATTTGAGTGGCATTCATGAAATGAAATGAAATAAAATACTTGTGAAATTTCTCTAACTTAAATGTGTTCTCCCAACATCCCGTATGGTTTATATACACTGGTAAACTTATAGAAAGTATGGGTTTATTACCTAAATGTCAGAATTTACTCATGTAATGTGGATTACATGAATCAAATCAGTTTATTTAAACTATCCAGGTAAAACTTGAAGTTCAACTCAAAATCAAACGCTAAGTCTAATGTGAGGTCTAAGTGTTAAAAATGGCATGTTTTGGTCTGAAATTGGGTATGCATTTGAAGACTGGGGCAACAAATCTAAGAAAATATCACATTACTTTACCATAAGAGAAAGAAAAAAAACTAATTTATCTGAACTCACACAGGTATTTTGTGGTCTATTATCTAAAAACTTCTATGCAGAGATAAAATGCATTGGTGCCAAACTTACTGTTGTTTCCCTTGCAGCCATTGTTTGGTCTCGTCACACAATGCCATATATTCCCCATTTGAGAGAGAGAGCACATTGCATGATGAGACCAAAGAATGGTTGCGAAAGAGACTCTGCGTACTGCTGTTCCCTTAACAGAAAGAAAGTCAAAATTATTTGTTTACAGTAAGTTGCCAAATATAATTCCATGTAATTTTACTACAAAAAGCAAACTGAAACCCTAGCTGTTGTATCTCCAATAGACCCTAACCTAAGATGTGTTGCAATCTCAAATAAGTGAAGTTACATTGAACAAGAGAAAAGGATAATATTTCAAAGAGGGCTTCCTAATTGGTTGTTGCCTATTTGGACTTTGCCCTCTGTGTGTGAAATAGGAGATGAAAAGCAGGTTGTTTGCAAAGAATTAACACACCATTGGGTTAAGTCCAAGGTAGCTAAAAGCCAATTTTATTTGTAGAAAAAGTCAAAATGCAGGAGAATGGAAAATTTAAAATTGTGAGGAAAATTTAAAATGTGTGAAAATTTACTATCAATAACATTTAGTTCAATATGCAAGAGTCAGTTTTTTGGCTGGATGGTTTGAGATGGGACAGTTTGTGAACTTATATAATGTTCTCATTTTTGTCACTGAAAAGAGCGTAACTTTAAAAAGACAGAAACACAGATATTTTGTGATCTACTGTCTCTATTGTCTTAATGCTTCTAAGTCAAAATAAAATGCATCGGTGCCATACGCAGTCTCCTTTGCAACTGTCATTTGTTCTCATCACACAAGGTTCTCTATTTCCCATTTGAGAGAAAGCATGTTTCCCGATGAGATCAAATAATGATGGTGAAAGAGACTATGCTTACTGCTGTTCCTCCAACAGAGAGAATATCAAAATTGGTCTTCTACAGTTAGTTACCTCAAAAATGTAATTCACATAATTTTACTATGAAAAGCAAACTGAAACTCTGTTGTACCTTTAATAGACCCTAACCAAAGATAGACTGCAATCTCAAATAAGTGAGGATACAATTTGAACAAAAGAAAGGATAATATTTCAAAGAGGGCTCCTTGACTGGTTGTTGCCTATCTAGACTTTGCCCTCTGTGTGTGAAATACACAATAAAATACAGGTTTTTTACAAGGAATTAACACAGAATTGGGTCCAATCCAAGGTAGCTTAAAGCAACTTTAACTCAAAGAAGAAGTCAAACATGAGAGAATTCCATGGAAAATTTACTATCAGGAGCATTTACTTCCACGTGAAGTTTTTTCAGTGGGGTAAAACAATGCAGTTGGAATATGCGATAAAATGCAGGTTGTTTACAAGAAAATGACACGTGATACAGGGAAGTCTTATGTGTCAAATGGAATTTGATTGGTGGAATACAATTCAAGTACATGAAAAATTGTCTAATGTTCATGTACTGCAATGATTGAGTATGTTCTGATTGGATTTTGGACTTTGTCTTCATAGTACATGATGGAATTTAAGTTGTTTGGCGAGTGCATTGTGAGTAAAGGAGTAGGAAATCTGTTTTAACTTTAAAATTTCAATGCATACCTTTTGTATCCCGTTAAATCTTGACCTTCATCAATGAGGCTCTTGCACAGACTTATCAAATGAGCCCAGTATTTCTGATTAATGTCATCCTTTATGCATAGCCCCGTGATCCATGTCATCATTTACATGAAAACAACAACCAAATGCTGTGATTGGTGCAAGATATTCAAATGCTATGATATGATTGGTGCGAGATACAAACCCTAATGTAGCAATCTGATTGGTGTGAGATACATACCCAAATGTGGCAATCTGATTGGTGCAACATACATACATTAATGCAGAGATCTGATTGGTGGGAGCAACATACCATTCTATACACTAACATAGAGGTTTTTTTTTCTTTGAAAAAAAATAACTCAAAAAGTAGAAGTTTCAGGCATACAGGAAATGACAACTGATTACGAATCAATGCACTTAAACCATTTGACGAACTTCCCCTCACATACTCCAGCTTTAGCTATTTTAAAATGCTTTATCAATTCTACTTTCATTTCATTTGTTAGCAGCATAGAAGATTAACTCAGAGTCAAATTCCTATAAGAAGTACAAGCTTAGATGTAATTCCAAATTTTTAAGAAAGGGATTGTATTCTTAATGTGCCCATTTTAATAGACTTTAAAATCATTTGTTTGACGCCTACTTCAGGAGTTACCTGTACATTCTTTTTTCTTTACAAGACCTGGGTGCACATGTATTGGTTTGTGTCCGTATGGGGAGTGAATTGCCTACCCAGACTAAAACCATGATGGATTCTGAGTGGTTTTCTCATGTACTGGTAAAACATTGAAATTTCAGATGGTGGGCTAAAATGGCAGCTGCTCTGAATCATGAGGTAATAATTCAGTTCTAGTTGTAACCATCCTCCCTGCCTGACCCAACCCCAGAAATTCATTTTCATAGGGGCCCACCAACAGATCACCAGAAATCACAGATTTCCTGCCCTCTGGCAAAGTAAAAGCATCAAAACTATCTTAGAATTTTCAGCAAAGTAACATAAGTAAACAATGTTGCTGCCTGGATGTTCTGAATATTCTTTAAATTGGGAGGTAAGAAGTTTGTTTTTCTTTGGATCAAACAAATTCTTCAACTCTCCAGTACCTTGCTTTTCTGCCCAAATCATCCATACCCTAAGGCAACACTGGCTGCGGCCACACTAGCTGAGTTAACCAGGTAATTTCTAATTAATTAGTTAGACTCTATGTTAGCATGTAGAGTGGTATGTTGCTTGCACCAATCAGATTGCCACATAAGGGTGTGTATCTCGCACCAGTCAGATTGCCACATTAGGCTATGTATCTTGCACCAATCATATC